TTTTAAAATGTTTCCCTTCTATGTGCTACATGCTGTATTAAGAAATAGTCTAGAGTTCAAATCTTGTTTTGATCTTGATTATACTATTTTGGAATTTGATAGTTGGGACTGACCTTGAGAAATCATATGGTCCATCACCTTGGTCTGGATTGGACCTCACTTAAGTTGACCCAGACAGGAGACTCAATCTTGTTTTGAAAATAACCAAATAGAAAGAGAATCTATAATTTCCTTCAAATCTCCCATTTCAAAGTTGAGTGACCCTCTTGGATAGATAATTCTTGCCAATGTATATTAATTTAAATTCTGTGTGTTTATATAAAGAACATTTTTAGCAGATTAAAGATGACTTTTAACTGTTCTCTGTCTAACAAATTTTACCTGATGTGAAGTGTTTATGAAGACTAGGTATATCCTTGGTTCAGGCCTCTGTTTTGATTTTTTAGAATCTTCATTCCTTCTGTTTTCTATATAATTTTTCCTAACCTTTTACCATCTATATGAGAAATCTACAAAATGTTAACTTCTGTAGCCTTTGGACTTTTCAAAATGACTTGAGAGTTCAGGATCATAGGTTTCAAACAGAGAGATAACTTAGAAAGAATGGAGCTCAACCTGCTCACTTTACAGATGAACAAACTGAAGACAAGAGGAGTTAAGTGACTTGACACAGGTCACACAGGTAATTCAGTGGCAGAGATCAAGGTTTTAGCCCAGATCTTTGGACCCCAGGTCAAGTGCTCTTCCCATGTCAATATGATGGTTTAGTAGGAATAAAAGGAGGGTTACTCAGTGAATTTAAAGAAAGGAATGAAATTCACTGCCAAAAAAATATATCTTTCTAAATTTTAAGACTGGTCTTACATTTCAGGGTAGTGGTTGAATTTATGTGTATGATATATCTATATCTATATCTATATCTATATCTATATATACATATATTCGTGTTAGGTAGCCATACATACATGGTGTGTGTGTGTGTGTGTGTGTGTGTGTATGAGAAAGAGAGAGAGAGAGAAAGGGAGAGAGAGATCCTTTCCTCTAAGACAAACAGCTAGTTCTGAGCTTTAGAAAGCAACATATACTTATATACATATATGTTAAACATATATGTACATGTATGCTTAACATACATATGTATATTGTATAATAGACTAGATAACTTCCATCATCCCAGACAAAAGAGACTCCAAAGAAAGAAATTCTTCAACTTCCTCCAATTTTCAGAGTTGCCAACCAGACTCTGAAGGTCTCCATTTTCTATTTGCTGCCTAAAATTTCCCTGCTAGAATGTCTTCCCCTTATAGAGGCAGCAGAGAGAACAAGGGTGACCATTGAATTTGGAATTAAGAGAAACATAGGTATGAATCTAACCTCTGACACTTTCTGTAGGGCTCACAGCTAGTAAGTTTCAAGTGTCTGAGGCTGGATTTGAACTCAGGCCCTCCTGACTCTAAGGTTGGAGCTCTATTGCACCACCTAGCTGTCCCTCAGTCTCCTCTTCTATATAATGGAAATAATATCAACCTCACAGCATAGCAAAGATCAAATGAGATAATGCATTTGAAATGTCACATACATCTCATTTTCTCTTACTTAGCTTAAGGCTTAGATCTCTAGTAAAATGAAAATATCCCTGTACAAAAGCTTATATCAAAATAGCACATTCATCTTACTTAAATTTTGAAAGGATTTTAATAGTCCTAGAGTGGCATTCTGATGTCCTAGAAGGGACAATACTGTGCAATAGCCTGTTATCAGACAATTAACTTCCTTACTCAGGGTACCTTTCAGTTCTTTTTCTGGAAATAGAATCATAGAATATTATGGATGGATGACACTTTAGAGACTGCTTGTTTCAAAACCCTCACTTTACAAAGAAAGAAATTGATACTCAGAAAGATTAAACAATGGTCTATGGATCAAGCCACTCCAGTCCTTCATCAGGATGAATAAATGACAGTCAATGTGTGCCATAAGAATATATGATGTAGTAAAGTAACCCTTCAGTTCAGCAGGTCAACAGACATTATAAAAAAAACAACTATTGGTAAAACTCTGCACTAGGCACTGAGAATGTTATACTATAACCAGTTCTATAAATCCATTAGGAAAAATTTATATATTCCTTAAAGCAAGAAGTTATATTTTCTGGGGATTTGATTGTGTGACTATTAGTAATAATAATTATCATTATGATAATGATAATAATGTTATCTAGCATTTATATAGCACCTAATCGTTGTCAGACATTGTATTAAGTGCTTTAAAAATATTATCTCATCTGATCCTCACAACAATGCTGGTGGTATTATTATCCTTATTTTATAGTTGAGGAAACTGAGGGAACAGTTAAGTGACTTGCCAAGGGTCACACAACTAGTAAATGTCTGAGGCCAGATTTGGACTCAGGTCTTCCTGACTCTAGGCCCAACACTCTATCCTCTGGGCCACCATGATGATGATGGTGATAGTGATGATGATGAAGATGATGATATATTAAAGAAGCTTAGTGCAATGGAAAGAGAGCTGGATTTGAAATTGGATAACTGGCTCTGTCTACACTTGCTACCCATGGGACTTTGGACAAATCACACAGCTGTAAGGACTATAACATATTGGAATCCAAGCCTTCTGATTCCAGGTATGGTGCGATTCCCATTATATCATTTCCCCTTCTTTAGAAAAATTACAAAATGATGGTCATACTAAATATCATCTTTTGAAGTCCCTCCTTTACTTAGGAACTGGCATATTATTATTCAAAGCTCAAAATAGTGACATATCTTTTTTCAGTTCTGTGGAGCTCACTTTATTTTCCCTTGGTTGCATTGATGACCAAGTGAAAGGATCCATAAATTTCTCAGAGACAGGAGTTCTCAACCCTCTTATCTTTAGTCAAAGCAACACCTAATCAGCTTGGAGATTTCCAGTTCTAAAAAAAAGGTGATTCCTTAAACTGTCTTGAGTCCAAACCAGTTTTGGAGTCAGACAACCTGTTTGCAAATCCTGACTTTGTAATTTACATCTTGTCTTTCGTTAGGCAAATTATTTTCTATCACTGGACTCAGTTTCCTCACCTGGTCATTGTACTGAATTATTTCAAATGTTTCTTCCAAGTTAAACCATTGTTTCTGTGTCTCTCTCTCTCCACTGTCTCTCCATCTCTGTGTCAATCTTTTTCTCTGTCTCCATCTTTCTGTGTCTCTGTCTCTCTGCCTCTGTCTCTCTTCATTTTTCTCTCTTGTTTAGTTCTCTCATCTTAACGTTGTCTCCATACTCCTTTTTTTAATCCTCTTCATTTTTCTCTCTTATTTAGTTCTCTCATCTTAACATTGTCTCCATAATTCTTTTTTTTTAATCCTTGGTGTCTAACCTCTAGACCTTTGCAATTTAAGTGCTTACTTCTTTGGTCTTTCTTCTATTTTAAGGTTCAATTCAATTCAACAATTATTTGCTAATCACTTAGTCTTCACAAGGCAACATGTGAGATGCTAAAAACACAAAGATAGAAATAAAACAGTCCCTACCCTCAAGGAGTTTATATTCTATCTGCTGGAATACCATCCTACAGAAGTACATCAACACTAAGTAATGCAAAGTAATTTCACAAGAGAGAGAGAACAAACAGCCAGGAGGATCAGGTAAGTCCTTGTATAGGACATTACATTCAATATATGTTTCAAGGGAAGGGATTCTAAGAAGAGAAAATGCTTTCCAAATAAGGGTGTAAAAGAGTGGAAATAGATAATGTAATGTCAATTATAAGCATGAATGAACAAGCTTGTTTAGCTGCAAAGAAAAATGTATGAAGGTGTATAATATGAATGACTAGAAAGGTAAATGGGTGCCATATTGTGGAAGGACTTAAATGTTAATTTAAATATTTCATATTTTACCTTAGACTGCTTTTGAACATGTTTCAGGAAAGGGATCAAATGGAAAAGGGGATTATTCAAAAGAAAAATTATCATGAAAAATCAATGTTCAAGACAAAAGAGTTTTTTAATTTCTTTTTTTCAACAAAAAAAAATTTTTTTCTCTTTCCAAGATCCACCCACTACCTTGGAAAAAAATAAAAACAAAACTTTTGAAATAAATACACATAGGAAAGACAATCAAACTTCCACATTGGCTACATACAAGGAATATATTACATCTCATTTAGCTCCAAGTTCATTATTTCACTGTCAGGAAGTGGGTAGCTTGTTTTATCATTGTTCAAGAGAACTATTCTTACTAAGGCAAAACAGGAGCATAGGATATGCATAGAGTCACCCTTCTTGGTGAGTTATATGGAGTATTTGCATATATTCTCTATCTTTCTCAAATTAATGCTTTAGAAGCTTTGGGGATCTGTTTCTATCCCTTCATGACTCAGGGGCTTGAAATGAAGATGATGAAGAATTCCTTATGTGGAGCAGCTAGGGGGCACAGTGAATAGAGCATTGACCCTGGAGTCAGGAGGACCTGAGTTCAAATCCGACCTCAGACACATAATACTTCCTAGCTGTGCGACTGTGGGCAGGTGACTTAACCCCAAGTGACTCATTAAAAAAAGAGAATCCCTTATCTGGATGCTAAGGTAGAAGAGCAGATGATTCAGAAAATGCACAAAATAGTTATTGTTTTCTCTGCTTCTACTTTCCTTTCTGGCTTTGAAGTGTGAGCACTATAGGACAACATCTGGAGATTAAGATAGGGAAGAGAGTGGTCCTTCTATCTTTCATCCACCTTCTAAATATCCATAAGCATCTAATTGACTAGACTCCAAGAGAGAAAATCTGCATAAGTTCTTTTTAAAAGGCACCAGAAATGGCCAAGCTGAACATGTTTCATCCCCTAATATAAAGATGCACAATACATAAGTATATAAAAAGTATTAGGCAAATTAAATGAGATGTTGATACGTATTTAGTGGTATTGATTGAATATTTGTCAGTGGTGATGATATCAGAATCCAAAATGAGAATTCATTTCTTGACCTTGCCTTTCAGCAGGTCTCTTCAATGAGTGAGAGGGGGATAAACAACTATTCAGAAGTGAATGAATTCATTCTCATAGGCTTCCAGGTCCGCCCAGAGCTCCAAATCCTCCTTTTCTTCATATTTCTGCTTACCTATAGCATGGTCCTTCTGGGGAACATTGGTATGATTGTCCTCATCCTGACTGCTTCCCGGCTGAACACACCAATGTATTTCTTCCTAGGCAATCTCTCTTTTATTGATCTTTCCTACTCTTCTGCTGTGGCACCCAAAGCCATAGCCAACTTCTTATCTGACAGTAAAACCATCTCCTTTGCAGGCTGTGTGGCCCAGCTCTTCTTCTTTGCTCTCTTTATTGTGACAGAGGGCTTTCTCTTGGCAGCTATGGCCTATGATCGCTTCATAGCCATCTGTTCTCCACTCTTGTATTCTGCCCAGATGTCAAGACACCTCTGCATCCGACTGGTGGCAGGATGCTACTTTTGTGGCTGTATCACGTCCATCCTTCAAGTTAGCATTACCTTCACTATGTCCTTCTGTGCATCTCATGTTATTGACCTTTTTTACTGTGATGTCCGACCACTGCAGAAGATCTCATGTTCCAATGTCTTTATTAACAAGATGTTATCATATTCCTTGTCTGTCATCATCATTTTGCCCAGCATCATAGTCATCATGGTGTCCTACATCTATATTTTGTCTACTATTCTGAAGATTCATTCCACTGAAGGACAAATGAAAGCATTTTCCACCTGTGGATCCCACCTGATGGTCGTGAGTTTACTCTATGGGACAGTTTCTTTTATGTACCTCACACCTGCCAGTAACCCAGAACTGGGTAAAGTGGCCTCTGTGTGTTACACCATTGTCACTCCTATGTTGAACCCTTTGATTTATTCTCTAAGAAACAAGGATGTCAAAGAAGCTCTGAGAAGTATGCTATGGGGGAAAAAAGGTTTTCTCTGAATTCCTTTGTCTTTACTATCTTGCCCCATTTAATTGATATTGATTCTGTATCTGTGAGCTACCTTTAAAAAAAATTCTCCCCCAAGTCATTTAATCTTCATTCTGGAACTTTACTTGAATGATTTCTACTGAAGATCTAATATTCTGTCTATTTTTCTTTCAGTACAGCAATTGCTATATGTCCTGAACCTCAGAAATCAGTTTTATGGGCACAGTAAAAAAAGAAAAAACAACGACAATAGTAACTCTCATTATATGGTGCTTTAAAGTTTATAAGGCACTTTGCGTATATTATTTCATTTTATTCATACAACAGCCCTGGGATATAGATGTTATTATTGTTATTCCCATTTTACAAATGAGGAAACTGAGGCAGAAAGTGGTTAAGTGACTTTCTCAGTGTCACAGAGTTAGACCAGATCTGACCTCAGACCTTTCTGAAGTCTTGGACTTTGTCTACTACCTGCCTATAAACAGACAAGCAAACATTCAAGAAGCACAGGGGGAAAAACAATTGTCACATATGTAACTCATGTCAGAGAATAATTTAAATTCCAGTGGTCATTGCAGCCTAGAGAGGTGAGTTTGGATGATGAGTTGTTGACAATCTATTTTTGAAGGTACATTTTCTATGTATTTGTTTAGATGTACACTTATTCATTTATTTAGGCATCTATATTTATTTGGAAAATTAGCAAAATTGTGGTGTAAGGGGGGGGTGAAGGGGACCAAAATCATTTTGGGGCCCTCTGAATGGACTGATCTCTTAACTATTTGGTGGCTTAATAATGGAAGGTCACCACTACTATTGATAAATAATAAACCATACAAGGAAACAACAAATCTGGTCTCATCAATTATATGAGTATTTGTTATCCTTTGATAAGATATCTGCAATTTTGTCTAAATGGATTTCTTTAACAGATGTCAAACAATTTGGTCTCCTTCCCTTGAACAGGGAATGTTTTCTCATGCTCTCATTCCAAAAGCAAACTTGACCCATAGTCAATCATTTGACCTCCCACTGACAGATATGTCTCCCAAGAGGTCCATTCCTCTTGGTTGAGAGAATTTCCCAACAATGGGTAGGGTGTGGACCTCTGAGTAAAGAAGACTTTACAGTTTTGCCTCTGACACATACTGGCTATATGACCTTAGACCTTTAACCTCAGTATATCAGACAATACTCCCAGGTTCTAAGTTGCAGTACGATAGCAAATACCCATTGGTTGAAAGGGTTTCCTTGGGAATTCTGCTGACTATTCTATCACAGGTCTAGATAGATAGACTAAATAGCTTTCCCAGACTTGTATTTTATTTGATTGGGATACTGAGTGTGGATGGAATTCCTTCTTTAAGTCAGATGTTATTGAATGGGGGAATGGATTTTTAAGTCATATGATCAACAGGATGGAGAACTAGACATTTCTCTAATCCTTATGACCTCTCATACCTCTACAAAACAGAAATTATGCACTAAAGATAAAATAATTGCAGGTGACTTTATGGTCTAGGACAGCCAGAATATAAAAGTCTCAACTGATACTTACTTTGAGTTCACTCAGCACCTCCCCCACCCATGTTACTGGCGGTATGCATGCACTAGCTGACCAAAAGGCCCCAACCTAGAGGCTCATAACAAAACCCAAGCCCATACTCTCGTCCCCCCTCCCTTTTTCCAGGGTGGTGGAGATCTGGGCTCTAGAAGTTTGTAGAATTTTGTTGGGGCTGTGAAAGCTAGTGCCATATGTAGCAATTATGTGCTGCAAAAGATCTCTGTAGGAGAGAGGAGGAACAGAGTGAAAGAGGAATGACACACATCTATAAGATTACAAGTCATTCTCCAATTGATAAATGGGGATATAAACAGTCAGTTTTCAGGTGAAGAAATTAAAGCTATGTATAGTCATATGAAAAAATGCTCTAAGTCACTATTGATTAGAGAAATGTAAATCAAAACAACTCTGAGGTACCACATCACACCTATCAGATTGGCCAACATGACAAAACAGGAAAATGACAGATGTTGGAGAAGATGTAGGAAAATTGAAACACTAATGCATTGTTGGTGGAGTTTTGAAATGATACAACTATTTTGGAGAGCGATTTGGAACTATGCCCAAAGAGCTATAAAAATCTGCATACCTTTTGACCCAGCAATAGCACTTCTAGGGCTATATCCCAAAGAGATCATAAAAATGAGAAAAGGACCCACATGTACAAAAATATTTATAGCAGCTCTTTTTGTGTTGGCAAAGAATTGGAAATTGAGAGGATGTCCATCAATTGCGGAATGGCTGAACAAGTTGTGGTATATGAATGTAATGGAATACTATTATGCTGTAAGAAATGATGAACAGGCTGACTTCAGAAAAACCTGGTAAGACTTACATGGTCTGATGCTGAGTGAAGTGAGTAGAACCAGGAGAACTGAAGTAGAAGACATACAGTGCCCTAAAAGCTAAAAACTTTTTAAAGAAATAAATTCTTATTAAGGGTGGTTTTTCCAGCACTTTGTGAGGCCCCTCCTGAACTTGAGGGCATTGTAGAGTCTCTTTCCCTTATCTTGAGACACCATAAAACTTCCCCCCATCCTGGACCATAAAACTTCCTTGTCTCCCTCATCCTGAGTCATAAAATTTCCCATCTTCCCTGAGTCCCCTTTCCTGTCATCCATCTTCCTCATCCTGTGTCATGACAACCCCTCCCCTTATCTTGTAAGATAAAACAGACCCCTATCCCTCGGTAAGTTGCAAGTTCTCTTTCCAGGGCTAGTCCACTGCTTTTGCCTCAATAAAGCTCCCAATGGTTACAGAGAAGGTGTAAGTGAATTCTTTCACACCTGAACCAGCTCTCCCAACTCTAAACCTCAACATGAAATGGTGCTGAAACCCGGGAGTCCAAATATTAATTGGGCTCTGCTGATCTTCTCCTGGCCACTGGGATAACAGGTAAGCACCCTCTTCTTTGTTCTCTTCCCCAGACCTTTTCTCCTCCTACTGTCTCCCTGGCTGAGAGACCCCTGGAGTGCCCAGACACTGCCAGCAGCATCTGAAGCTCCACTGACCTCTGGGTGGTCAGTCGGACTGTTGATCCTCATATAAGGGGACGCCCTTGCGCTGGGTCGGTCATATTTTTTCCTCTCAAGTGTCTTGGGATGCCAAGACAAGCGAGAGGCTGCTAGGAGACTGCTAGGATGGGAAATTCAGGGAAGGAGATCTTAAAGAAAAGTGCCTAGTGTTCCGTTGTAATACAGCCTGACATCAATGTAATCTAGAAAAATAATTTGTAAAGGGGATTTCTAAACAAGACAAGCTTAGTAAGAAATTTGGTCTCCAAAACTTAAAGAAAAGGCACTTTGCTCTGTTTGAGCAGACTTTTATTCCTCTGCGCCTTAGTTTACCCTATATTGTTCCTTCCCCTCCCCTGAGGGACTTTGGGGAGGCGGGTAGGTGGGCCTTCACTCCTGGTTTTCTTTGGGGGTCCTTGTGCCCTGTTTCAGGGTGTCTATGCCCTGTGGGCCTTTGAGCCTGATTTTCTTTGGGGTTCCCTGCACCCTGGTTTCAAGGTCTCATTTTCTAGTACATGCAGCTCGAAATTCCCAGGAGGATGGGAATGGAGAGCTGGACTGCTTAAGGCTTATCTGATAAGTCTCAAAGGTAAAAGAGATAAGGAACTACAGCTCTTCTCCAGCCGAGACTGGAAGGTATGTAAGCCTCCTCTCTCTCCCTATCCCTTTTCTCACCTGTAGTTGGGGTGTCTCTCCAAGCACCTAGGAAGTCTGACCTCTCAGGTCCAACCAAATGGGTCAGACAGCTACAAGGCTGTCTCACACTCAGCCTGACCTCTTAGGCTCTCAGTCCAGCAGTTCGAGGCCATGGACCTGGGCACACCTTCCACAGCATAGAGGAAAGACTCTCTATCCAGAAGCTTATGTGCAATTCTTTCAAATCTCTGGGTGATAGGGAATTGGGAAAATTGCAATTACTCCCTTCCCTCTGCACCCCAAGACTCTTGTAAACTCCAGTTTAAAGAAGTAAAAAGTTTTTGGAGCTAGAAATTGTCACCATGTGTCTTCGAAAAAAAAGTATATTTATGGCTAATAATCTTTTCTTTTAAAGTGCTAAGAATACTGGGCCTTAGAAATTAAAATGTTACCGTTAGTGATTATGAATCTAGATCTTATTTGCTCATCCAAATAAATTTAAAGTCACTTGATTGGAAATTAACTGGTTCTGTGTCAAGCTTTAAATACATGATAATTGTTTGTGGTATAGTTATACTTCTAAATTTTCTTGTAGTGTGTAATTTGGTTAGCAATTGTACCACCTGTTAGCAATTGTTAGAAAAGCCATTTCTCTTATAACCTAGACGTTGTTAGATCAAGAATTGTACTGTCAGATTATGAGGTTGTTAACTAAGACAAGGGTTTTTGGAACTATCTAGTCATAATTTCTTATCAACTCTGTGCAAGTCTTCTATAGTGGAATTCCTACTGAGTAAATTTTTAAAGGCCTGGTAAACTTTGTTATTGTGGTAAGGCTAATTTAATTGTGTGTGTGTTCTTGACTTAGGGAAAAAGCTGAAACTTTCCAAGGTAAACACCTTTTGGTGCTTAGGAATTTGTGATTATTGAGAATTTTGGTTTTATGGCACTTTGGGGGTTTGTGATACTTAAAAGACGTTTTACATCAACTTGGTTTTGATAAATTCCAATCTTTAAGGTTTCCAGCTGATTAACTTCATGAAAGTTTAGTGATTATTCCTTCTAACATCAGGATAAGCTGTAAGCTTTTTTTGAGAAAGGGAAACACTTTTTACACAGTAATGTTTTGCAAAATCTTTTTGTGTAGTTTTTAGAAGGTCTACTTGTCCCGTCCCGCGGGACATCAAAGGAGGTCCGGACCTGTAAAAGAAGGAGGGGAGCAGGGGACACAGGAAATGGAGACAAGGCAGGCTTTCTGATCAAGTCTCGTTTATTGAAGGCAAGCTCAGGGTAGTTATACACACAGTAAGAGGGAATGGGGGAGTTCCACCAACGGTATAGGGGCGGGGTATTCCAGGAAGAGATACAGCTTTGTCCATAATTTGTTCTTATCACAAGGAGGCCTTGACAACTGCAACCTAGTAATTTTCCAGAGGTTATACTGGGCCTGTGGTCCCTTACAGGGAAACACTTTTTACACAGTAATGTTTTGCAAAATCTTTTTGTGTAGTTTTTAGAAGGCCTACTAAATTTCCTTTTGAAGCTAATTTGTTGCAGTAATTTGATATTGATAATAATTACGTCCAAATCTACTGTGAATTTTCTAAGTTTCATTCCTAGTTTTGTTGTGTCCTTAGATCAGGTGCTTTCAGAGAGACAGAGTCAATGGTTCATGCCTCAGGTACCATAAGAAAGGGCACTAGTCTTCAGAGTGTAGGTCTGAAAGGTTCAATACCCCACTCTAAATTTTGAAGAGGTGGATGTGAAGAGGGGGGGTTTTGGGGTGCTTTTATATGCACAGAGGCACCCCAAGATCATGGGAAAAAGCCCAAATCATGGTGCAGATCTGCCTGAATGAATTCAACTCAGATCTTCTTCCAGCCAGAGAAAGTTTATTAAAGATAAGCATATAGGCCAGACTCCAAAGGAACCCCAAACATCAGTGATCTAAATAGGGTTCAAGGCAGTCAGGTGATGCTCACAAGAAAGAGCAGCATGAGGCAGTCTAGAAAACTCAGAGTCTGAGTGGGGGCTGGGGCTAGGGTGGTCAGGCCAGGTGATGCCCATCAGGGCGGGCATGAGGGGTCTCAGCTTTTAAGCTTGAGAACAGCTCAGCATCAGACTGGGGGAAAGGTGAGCCTTCAGTACAGACTGATTGGGGAGGGCCCAAGCAGCTTGGAGTGATGGGAGGAGGGGTCTAGGGAGATCTGGATGGGGGTGGCCAGCAAGCTGGGGTGAAAGAAACACTGGCGCCTAGCTAGGATTAAGGGTGGGAATGGCCAGGAAGGTAAAACAATGGGAAAGCCAGTTTATTGGGGAGGTGGACCCTTTGGAAAAGGGTCCAGGTGAGAATTTCTGCTTGAAACATCTGAGTGATTTGAACAGACAATGAGAATAGATAATGAAGGGAGCTGGAAGGGGGAGTTTGCTTTCAAAGGGAAATAAGGAAGTTTTTAAAACTTTAAGGGTTTCCTGTAACTGGTAAACAAAACTGAAGCCAGGTTCTTTTTGTCAAAGAGAGATAAGTGAAGTCTACAAGGAATCCAAAAGTTTTAAGGTTTTTCTGGGAATTGTAGGTAAACCTCTTCAGATGTAGAAGTGAAAAAGTTAGGACAGCTGAAATATCTTAGCAGATTCTGGAAATTTTGAGATTGATCATTAAGGAGTTTTTAAGCACCTCATTTTACAATCTTGTCACTCCCTTCCTCACTCCCTCCCCTTGAGTCAAGAGGGTTTCTCTGTGTGGGAATCCCAAATAACCTCAGGTTTTTCTGTTAACCCCTTTCATCCCAGATCAGATTAGGAAGAGAGTGTTGTCTGATGGATCATAAAAATCCATCCATAATCAATAGTCAGTAATCCACCATCTGAGAAAAATGCCACAAGCTACTCAGAGAGAATGTGACTGTTACAGGTGGAGGTCTGCATCTAGAAAAGCTGAGAGGACAGTCTTAGCCTCAGTCTAGGATGGGATCCTCCTGGCTCAATTTCCCCACCGTGTTCCTTTGAAAAGGAAAGTTTCCCACCTGACTATTCCTGAGTCTGGCCATGAGGTGGAATTGATACTACATGGTTGGAAAACTGTGATGTCCTTGCTTTTCCTTTTCAAGGCAAATTTCTGTAATCAAAGCAAATAGATAGTAAAAGATAGGAGCACAATGCAAGTATGTGAAATCTTGCCATTTTCAATCTGAATGTGTAGTCATCCCGTATCTCAAACAGTTAGGTAAATCAGTACTCCTGCATAGTCATGTGAAAGATTAAATCCCTGGAATAGAACATTCTTTCTGAATGATATGGGAATGATTAGACAAAAGTTTGTGAAACGAAGGTACAAACACAATGCTGAATCATTATCCCATAGACTAAGGCTGGGATACGTCTGAGCTACTATATTAAAGTGTGTGTTTAAGATCTGAGCTATTCAGTCTAAGATTATATTCCTTTCCATTTCTTAAGCAACTTAGGAAATGAATCTTTGGCCTAGACATCTGCCTATTACTAGATATGTTTGTATGGAATAAGGTCTTTAAATGTTTCAAAATGATGTAAGAATAATTGGGTATTGGGACAACTGATTGAGGGACCTAGCTGTTATTCTATTATTACTGAAACTAAATCAGAGACATTTTCAGTTTGGGGAAAAGAATTTCAGTGCAATTTTCTTAGAGGGAGGTAATTTATGGAATATTTTTGCGTTAATGGAAAAGTCAATTTCATTTAAAGTTTACTACTATTGTGGAAATAATACCTGTTTATTCTGTGTGTCCTGTGGTACAAACATGTTTTATTGTAAACAGCTTATGGCATGTACTGTTTTGGAATTAATTACTTAGGGATCTTCCCAGGTCTTTTATGGCAACTAGAGTAAAAGTCAGTCTCTTATAAGCAAATTTATTTGTATAACTACTGAACTCAAGAATAGAAAGCTTCTACCTGCAAAAGTGTTGTTACTTATAATTACACGTATAGAGTCGAATCCTCAATAGCATCTGATTCTCCTAAAAGAATTGGAATCATAGTGGAAACTTTTGAGGAAACAACAAGATCAGATAATCCTCTATGTCAAGAGTAAATAATAGTATCATGGGGCTCTTGGTTTCTTTCTTTGTTTTCCTCTTTTCTGACATCATTTTTAATGCTCATTCTATTTGGGCTCTGCCTATTGAACTTGTTTGTCAGATACAAGGATAACTGTTCTACACTCTCCTCATCCACCAGATGCTGCTTCAGCCTCATTTTACTCCCCTCCCCACCCCACTGAGGCAGGGACAGCTCCTTTGTCCTGAACTGGACGCCCGAGAGAAATCAGAGCATCACACCCAATTGACTTTAATTGAGAGCGCGTTTATTTGAGCCGGCCGGCGACGGACCCCAGGCGTGCATCCCAGGGGCCGTCCCACCGACGGTTTCATCTGAGATATTTATACTGTCCGGTTACAAAACAGGGTCCGGTGGGGTGCCAGGAAGGGAACAGGGTCCGGTGGGGTGCCGGGAAGGGAGCAGGGTCCGGTGGGGTGCCGGGAAGACAGATCAGGTCATTTACAGAACAGGATGTTGCACCCCACCCTTGAGGATTTCACCCAGGGTGTTGTAACAGCCGTTAGGGGAAGCTGAGCCAGAGGCCCCGGGGCGTGGTGCCCCTGGGTCCCTAACGGAGAGTCTATCACATTCCCCCCTTTTCAAGAGCAAGTTATACAGAGGACTCAACAGAGTCCAGGGGTGCTGACTCATCCGAATCCAGGGGTGTATAGGATTTGCGTAGGACAAACAGTTTCAGAGACTGTATACGCTGCTGGATGTAGCGGGAGAGACAATTAATGATGCAAGGGGCGACCAATAATCCTAGGAGGAGAAGAACCAAGGGGCCCATTATAGCAGAAAGTAGAGTGGTGAGCCAGGGGGACCAGTTATACAAGTTCTGGTACCAGGAGGAGCCGCGGGCTCGGGCTCGGTCCCTATCATCTAACCGCTGCCTTAATGCCTGCAGGGATTCCCGGATGACACCTGAACGATTGGTATAGAAACAACAGGTCTCTCCCAGGGCCATACACAACCCCCCCTGTTTCAGGAATAACAGGTCAAGGGCGCGGCAGTTCTGAAGCACCACCTCCGCTAGGGAATCCAGGGAAGTCTCCAGGTGGGAGACTAGTCCCTCCAGAGCTCGTAGGTCCTTATCCACCTGGGTACTGAGGGCCGCATAATCTGCCTTTCCCTGCACTAGGGCGGTTGTTCCCAAGGCTGCAGACCCGGCCACCCCGAGCCCCACCAGCAAGGGCACTAAGATAGGGGCTGCCCTTCTGGAGCGGGGTAGGCCAAAGTCTTCGGTGGCCCCCTCCTCGGAATACACATACACCTGTGGGAACACCCTAACTATCACACAGATCTCAGTGGGGCTGAGGAAGTGGTGATCTTGTATACAGGTGGTGAGGCCCAGAGTGCAGGCGAACCAAGTCTCGGGTGGGGTGGTTATCAGGAAGCCGGGCCTATTGGACGAGGGTGTGACTAAGATAACAGAAGTGCAGGTTGAATTAAATGGGGAAGCTCTCAACGGGTAGTCAGGTCCAAGCAAGCACGTCCCTGTGCCCTGGACGTCATCCAACGTCAATTTAGGCCCATTTGGGTTACAGCGGGCGGGGATTGCTGTGGAGGAGGGGTTCTGCATGGACAAGTTCCCCAGAAATGAACTGTTTAACTCCAAAGCGACCCCTACAAAGTATGGGGGAGCCGGGTTTAGGCACAGCCAGCAGGCGGTAGTGACATTGGGGTCGGAGGAATTCAAGAATGCATGGACCGCAGTAAGGGTGTCAAGTATGGAGGCCCCAGGGGCACCGGGTGTTTCCAGAGTCGCCAACCCTGGTGTAGCCGAGGGCTCAGCAGACGGAATCAGGTCTATCTTGGCCCGTGGGTTGAGGACAGGGTTGGGACCTATGGGAAGGGGCTGAACGGGTAGGGCGACCTTTTGTATTGTGAAAAGGACACCGTTGTCCCATCCAGTCATATACAACCTCAACCCCCATGAATGCCCAAGATTCCATGAATCATCCGTGTACTGTTTGACCGTTAAGATCATGGGGTTGCATTTTCCAGGCCAGCAGGAATACGGGAGAGGTGACTGTCTTTCCAAAGTGATGAGCGGGTCTTTTCCACCCCCAGGAATCCAGTCTGCCACTGTCTCACACCCCCATTCTGCGCAGTGGAAACTGCCGTCTCCACGGCAAGAGAGGCTTCCGGTAGCAGGACAGGCATAGAACTGGATGCCCCTGATATTATATTCACCTTGTCCTGCTCCATGTTGGGTGGCTGGTATGGGAATAGTAGGGCAGTGCCCGCCCCCTCCCGTCACAGGGTCCTGCAGGTGCCTATCTCTATTCCATCCCGATCCTAAGAGGGCACAGAGGTCAAACCTGAAGGTAGGAGGGCCATAGCAAGTTAAGGTCTGTATGATGGTGCCATCATTGGTGCGGGATAGAATCCACCTATGTGGCGTGGGGCGGTAGGGGTTACAGACTGCAGGATATTCCTTATAAGCAAACAGGAGAAGCGAAAGAATCAAGTTTTGGAGAGCCGGAGCCTTAGATCCGACACCGCCTCTGCTTTCCATTTCGCGGGCTCAGGCACCGGAGTCTTCTTGACGTGTGACCGATGTATCCAAGCCTTTCGACCCGCGACTTTCACGGCCGATGGGTTGCAGAGGATCACTTGGTAGGGCCCAGTCCACCGCGGTTCCAGAGCCGATCCGGCAGGCAGTTTGCGGGTGAGGACCCAGTCTCCAGGTGTCAAGGCCCCCGAGGTAGCGGCAGGATCTGAACTTCTCCCCGCAGCCTTTAGGACCGATCGTACCGCGTCTTGGACCTCCCGGAGTGCCTGAAAGGACTTAAGAAGAGTGGGGTTAGTAAAATCCGGGGCTGGGGTCGCCCCCGTTACCTTTGGTAGGACAGGTGGGGGCGCCCCGTAAAGAATCTCATACGGGGAGAGAGAGAGAGTGGAAGAGTTAGGAGTACACTTAGCCCGAAGGAGAGCGAAAGGGAGGAGGCTAACCCAGTTATCGCCAGTTTCCAGTCTGAGCTTAGCAATGTGCTCCTTCAAAGTCCTATTCATCCTTTCTACTTGCCCTGAACTCTGAGGCCGGTATGCACAATGTAGCTTCCACTTCAGTCCCAGCATCTTGGATAAATTCTGAATTGTTGCAGATACGAATGACGGCCCATTGTCGGACCCTATCGAAGCTGGCAAGCCGAATCTGGGAATGATTTCAAAGAACAGTTTTTTTGCAACTACCGTGGCGGTTTCGGCTTTTACTGGGAACACTTCTGGCCACCCGGAGAACGTGTCTATGAATACAAGGAGGAATCGGTACCCCCCCTGTCCAGGTCCCATATCGGTGAAATCAACTTCCCAGTGATCCCCGGGGAAGGTCCCCCGCGGTCTATCAGCCGGCACCCTCGTCGCCGGCCGGGGGTTGATCTTTGCACATGTACTGCATCTCCTGGCCACCTCCTCAGCTGCCTGTTTCATCCCTGGGCTGTAGAAATGCCTACTCACCAGGTCGTAGAGCCTGGTTCCGCCTAAATGGGTGAGGTCATGGAGGGTCATCAATAGAGGGGGCAGGAGGGCTTTGGGCAGGATTAACAGACCGTTCGGGTGTCTTCTCCATCCCCCCTTTTCAGGCACGCCATCCGGATCGCCGGACTGGTAAGAAGGTCGTGCGGGCAATAAGTTTTCCGTCTGGACAGCGAAGGCGGGGAGAGGCGTCCTCCTTGCGGCCGCACGGGCGGCTCTATCTGCGGCTGCATTTCCCTGCGACTGGGGGTCCGTCCCACGGGTGTGAGCTGGGACATGGATGACTGCCACCTCTTTGGGAAGCCAGACAGCATCCAGGAGATCCTGAATCTGCCTCTTATTCCTGATCTCCTTCCCTGTTGAGGTTAGCAGGCCGCGCTGCTGGTACACGAATCCGTGAACATGGACAGTCGCGAATGCATACTTGCTGTCAGTGTAGATATTGACTCTCTTGCCCTTCGCGAGCCGGAGTGCCTGCGTCAAGGCAACCAGCTCTGCCCGCTGGGCAGAAGAACCAGGCAGCAGGGCTGCATCCCAGAGGGTCTCAGTCGGGGTCACCACTGCGGCCCTGGCCCTCCGAATCCCATCCTCCACGAAGCTGCTGCCATCTGTGAAGAGGATCATGTCAGGACTGGTCATAGGTACATCGGTAAGGCCGGGCCGGGAAGTGTGGATGGCGTCAAGGACGTCCAGGCAATCATGCAGCGGTGATGCCGGCGGGGAGCTGGGAAGCAGCGTAGTGGGGTTCAAGGTCACGGGCGCAGAGAAGGTTATGCGGGTTGGATCTAACAGGAGGGACTGGTAGTGAGTCAGACGAGAATTAGAGATCCACCGAGTGGGAGGGGTGTGCAGCAACTGCTCCAGGTGGTGAGATGCAGAAATCTCAAGGGGCTGGCCGAAGGTCAGCTTTGTTGCCTCCCTGACCAGGGTCGCGACAGCCGCAACGGTTCGAAGACATGTAGGCCACCCAGCAGCGACCGAGTCAAGCTGCTTGGAAAGATAGGCCACTGGGCGATTCCAGGGCCCCAAAGGCTGGGTTAGCACTCCCTTGGCCACTGCCTGAGATTCTGAGACATAGAGGCGGAACGGCTTAGTCAGGTCCGGCAGGGCAAGAGCGGGGGTACTAGCTAACGCTCCGCGCAGTTTGTTAAAAGCCTCCTCCTGCCTTGGTCCCCACAGGAACTTGGCAGGCTCACCTGACAGTGCCTCATACAGTGGTTTAGTGATTTCCGCAAATCCTAAGATCCACAGTCGGCAGTACCCGGACATTCCCAAAAATTCACGGAGCCCGCGGCGGGTTGCTGGGGCCCGCATGCCCAGGATGGCTGACACACGTTCCCGCGAAAGCAGCCTTTGTCCGGACTGCAGGGTGAATCCTAGATAGATAACAGACTGTAAGCACAGCTGAGCTTTCTTACCCGAAACCCGATAGCCCGACTTGTCCAATAGCTGCAGGAGGTGCAGCGTAGCATCTCGGCAGGTCGTCTCGGATGAAGCGGCCAACAGCAGGTCATCCACATACTGGAGGAGTGTGACCTCGGGGTGGGATACGCGAAACCTGGCTAGGTCCGAGGCCAGGGCTGAGCCAAAAAGAGTAGGAGAGTTCTTGTACCCTTGAGGCAATCGAGTCCAGGTTAGTTGGGAGGACGTTCCGGTTGAGGGGTTGGTCCATGTGAAAGAGAATATAGGCTGGCTGATAGGGGCCAGCGGGATGGAAAAGAAAGTGTCCTTCAAGTCCAAGACAGTGTACCATGTGCGGGTTGGAGTCAAAGAGGACAACAAGGTATATGGATTAGGCACAGTGGGATGGACCGTCTCCACCCTGGCATTCACCTCCCGCAAGTCCTGGACTGGGCAAAAATCTCCGGATCCGGGCTTACGGACCGGCAACAGGGGAGTGTTCCAAGGACTTTGACATGGCTGTAGTATGCCAGCCTGAAGAAGTCGGTCGATATGGGGTTTGATTCCCAGAAGAGCAGGCCGGGATACCTGATACTGTTGGACCTGCACAGGAGTAGCAGTGGACAGGAGTTGGACCACCACAGGGGCCTGGTGGGCAGCTAGCCCAAAAGGGTTTAACTCAGCCCACACTCCTGGCACTAAACTCCTGTACTGACTCAGCAGTGGGGACGGGGCATCAACCCACGGTCGCCCGGGAGAAAGGAGGCGGGACTCCTCGGAGAGGGGACAGGTCAAGACAAGCTGGGGCACGCTGACCCCCAGGGTGGGAGTAGGTCCCTTAAAAGAAATTACAGCTTGGAGTTTATGCAAGAGGTCTCGACCCAGGAGGGGGTAGGGACAGTCGGGCATGACCAGAAAAGAGTGAGACACCGAGCCTTCCCCTAGCCGGACCTCACGGGCGGTGGTGAAAGGCACTGCTTGGATACGGCCTGTAGCCCCCTGGACCTGTATTTTAGAGGAGGACAGGGGACCTAGTGGAGAGTTCAGAACTGATGCAGCCGCCCCTGAGTCTACGAGGAAAGAGATTGGCCGACCCCCAACAGTGAGTGTCACCCTTGGCTCCAGGGGGTCCAGGGTCATAGTAGACTTGGAGCCAGGGCACCCCTAATCATCCATGTCCAAGGTTAGGACTGGCTCTGGTCTAGTCTTTTGCTGCCGATTTGGGCATTCAGACTTCCAGTGCCCAGTAGCTTTGCAATATGCACATTGGTCTCGGCCTAAGGGGGGCCTGCCCGTATTTCTCCCACGAGGCCGGGGACCAGGTCTTCCCCCTTTCCCGCTTTGCCTGTCCCCCGGGATTTGTGCCAGAGCTGCCACGACCGCCCGTGTCATGGAGCGTGCCTGTTTTTCTTGCAGTTCCTCCCGGGAGTCATAAACCAGCTTGGCTACTTCCATGAGTTCAGTAAGAGTCTTACCCTCGAATCCATCCAATTTTTGCAGTTTTTGCCGGATGTCAGGAGCCGAATTAGACACAAAGTCTATCACCACTGCTCTCCAGTTGTTAGGATCCTCTGGGTCAATGGGGGTATAAGTGCGGTAGGCCTCATACAATCTTTCCAAATAAGCAGCTGGAGATTCACTTTTCCCTTGCCTGATCTCACTAACCTTAGACATATTGGTGGGTTTCCGCGCTGCTGCCCTCAACCCCCCTAACAGTAACTGGAGATACCTGTCCAAAGCCTCTCGCCCTCGATCAGAATTTGGGTCCCAGTCAGGGCGACTTTCGGGAAAAACATGATTCCGGCGGCCTGGATCAGTTGAGGGACGGCCGTCGGGGTCCATAACCCTTTTCCTGGCTTCCAATATGATCTTATCACGCTCCTCAGTGGTGAAAAGAACTCGCAGGAGCTGCTGACAGTCATCCCAACTAGGCTGATGTGTATAGAAGACTGTCTCCAAAAGGGAAATCAGACTTTGGGGCTTGTCCGA